GAGAGGGCGGCGATCTCAGCGTTGACAGGCTTGTCGGTGCAAGCCGCGCTATTCACACCAACGCCCGCGGTGTTGCGCTCAAGAGTCTGGTAGACGAGAGCAGCAGACATGCCGCGGATATCCTTGGCGGCCTTAGCGTTGGTGAAAGCCTGGTCGGCAGTCTCCTGCTGCAGGCAAGCCAAGTTGGTGACCTGTCCGGCGCCAGTCTTGGCGGCTGCGTCTCCGAGGAGGCCAAAGACGGGGTCGGCAATGGCTTTGGGGTTCTCCTTGTTCAGGAACTCGCGGGTAATGTTGAGGAAGATCTCGTGAGAGTGCTCCTGGGGAACCTCACGCTTGCTGACACGTCTCACATGGTGGTGACGGTGGTAGGGACTGGCCGCCACGAGACCGACGAGGGTCGAAGTGGCGAAAGCGATAGTCTGGTACTTCATCTTGATCGAGATTTGGATTATCGACGGTCGAGAGTGATTAAGACAGAAAAGACCGGCCTTCTGTGTGCTGTCGACTGACGTGGTTTGAAGCGAAGAGTTGATTGTAAGATAGTAGAGTAAAACGAGGTCAGATCTGCTGGCGATACAAAGAATGGAAGAGCTCACAGAACTCGAAATTGAAAAGAATGAAACGAAACGGTGCAAAGAGAATGTCGTATGAAGATGAGAAGCTATAGCCAAGACGAAGAAATTTGGTGCCGAGAGGGAGATCAGCCAGGTTTATAAAGAAGAGATTGGATGGAAAACATGATCAGAGCAGATCCTTGGTGAATCAGTGGAATTCAGACGGTCCAGAGCAAGAGCCTCATGCTCGGCCAGCTTTGGCTAGCACACCGTTGCGATGAGACTTCAAAAGTTCAGACAGACGACGCTCTCCCTGGGGTATGGAGGCCGAGGGGGACGAGAGTCGAGACAACATGAGACGAGCCGAATCGGTTAAGACGGCGACTTAGAAGATTGTCAGGTACAGGAATCTATCGGACCCGAAATCATGGTATGGCATGTGCAGGGGTTTCAAAGAACAGACGCGACGGGTGACCATGTCATCGCCAAGTCAACCACTCATGAAGCAAGTCTGGTGGGGGCGCGAGGCCGTCATGGTCTGAATTGGGCGCGACCAGCTAGCGAACGACTATGGCGTGGCTGCATTTGCGTTCATTATTGCAACATGGGTCGCGATATCGGCTGAGTTTTTGGAAGTCTTGCGACGGGTGGTCGGCGCATTCGGTAAGGCGCCGCAGACTTCAGACGCCTCGACAACGATGTGGACGGAAAGATGAGGCGGAAGATCAGACAGATTCAGCCGCAGGTTGTCATAGAGCGAGTTTCGCCTGGGGTAAGGGTGGGAACGTTTTGCGATGGTGGCATGGGTGGGAGGGGAGAGAAGAAGGGGGAGGGTCTTCACCCGTGCGTCTCGAGAGGGCCTCCGCCGCTTATCAAAGCCGAGTTCCCCACGACCAAATGCTTAACTCATTCCAAAGCCAATAGCAAACCTCGGTGGCCTCCGGATCGCGAGCTCGCCGGGCGGGTAACTGGTTTGTAAGGGGTCACTTTCGCATTCTCTTAGGGCTTAGCGCAGGGCCTACCCGCGCTACAGATGTCTGGAAAGCTTGATTACTGTGTAATTCTGTAGGCGAAATGTACTCCAGATGTGCCTCTTCTCCCTGAAGATGCACTTTCTGCGGACAAGGTCACCCTATTCGGGATGTCGCTCCGAACAGCAGATGGGATTCAACCGATCTTGCTCAACGGAGATTCTGGCCGCCGTTCCTGGCCAGCTATGATCCGAGTCCAGACGATATTGCCATCTATCTCTGCATCCTCTGAAAATGAGGAAAGTTGCCGCCAGTTGGTAAGCTTATTGTGGTGGACAAGCGGGCATGCCCCTCAGTGCCTGCAGGAAACTTCACGTCAGATCCAGTTGTCAAATGGAACTCAAAATGCTCGACAACCTTACGGATGCAATGGGACCCCCAAACCACTGTCGCCCAGCTCCCTTCGTCTTCTGTGGGAATGCGAGCATGACACCATCCCACTATCTGGCTAGAAGTCTGTCTACCCCGTCGCGGGACCAACGTCTGTCAACGCTTCTGCGGCACCGAAAGTGGAGACCTGGACTCGTTGCCTGCCTTGAGATCTTCTGTTTCAGGCGATCAGAGACTTCAGACGCATCAGTGCCAAGGGGCGAAATCTCAGACACCATCACCATGCGGCCCTAGCCACCCTCGCGCATTTGTCTGGTTGGCAGGAAATCATCGCATAGAGCGTCCATAAAAGCGGGGATGATTTACGTATTGGCAGGCAATCATCTCACATCGTTCCCTCCTGTGTAGGGTAGGATGATCTACCTCGCCATTCGGAGTTCGGCCTACGGCGCCGTGAAGTCCTCGACCGATTTTGAGGTGAGATGACTCGACTCTCGTCCATGGTCATGGTGGATGGATTCTCCAAAGTTGCCTAGCCTTCGGACGACCGGACGATTCGATCACCAAATTACTCTCGTTATTAACGACAAAATGTGAGTCTTTCCATTCTCAGGCCTGATTCGATGCGAGCAAGCTGTTCATACATGGACGCTAACTTGCTTGATGTTTTGATACTTGCTGCCAGTTCCCTTTACTTCAGTCATGATAATTTATTGTTCCTTCATGACCGTCGACGATCAAACAGTGTCGGAGGCGACTTATCATGAACTTTATCAGTTGTTATCATGCAATGGCATGCAACCACTCGTTTCTGGCTCCGTCTTCAGTCCGAACGCACCGGCCGAACTCTTCATCGGTAGTCTCTCCAAGAGAAACCCAACTTTGTTTCTTCCCCGAAAGATGAACTTGATCCCATTTTATACGCCTGAAGTTTGGGATGCTCTCAATATGCAGCATACGAAACGTTTCTTATCAACATTGTGTGATGAACTGCCGTTCATGCTTCCATGACATGCACTGAATCGCCGAAACATGCCCCGGTGCCAACCTGTCACGCCTGCTGCGTTTCTTCTTCCTTCTCTCGGCCTACATATTTGGACCTCTGACGTTTGACAGCACTTGGCAGTGGAGACCTCAACACACCACGACTTTTCAGCGCTCTCAGTCTCGACATTCCCATGCATCCTACGCGTCCATTCGACTTATCAATCATTATCTCTCATGATACATCAATTCGGATTGTGTAATCATCGCCGTCTTGCTCCACCACCGTCACCGTCACACCCAGATCTGTCGAGGTGTATGCGCTCGCGCCCCCGCTATTCAAGCTCAACGGCGCGTTGTCAAGTTCATCGTTGATGCAAGAAGTTGTTCCCCAGCCGGGATTCCCATCAAGGACTCGGATCGGTCCCTCGCCAGTACTAAGATCCGTCGCTACAGTATAGAGCAAGACGCCAGTCGTACATGAGTTGAGGTTGTTGCCCTCCCTCGACCTCACCTCGGCCACCAGCGCCATCGTCGCATTGTGCTTCACGACCACGGCTTTCATGCCGCCCATAGTCTCCAGTGGCGTGAGTTTATGCGTCGTTGATGAAGTAATGTTGCTGCCGTTGAACGGAGCCGCCGACGTAACGACGCACTCGACTTGATCGTCCGTAAGCCAGCCTAACCTCCACTTGTCCCATGCGAAGTAATCCGGGCTAGAAGCCCCCACGTTGGCCATCATATCCCAGTTGCCGGCGTACATACCCGTATAACCCGTCGGTATGGGGTATAGATCCGGCAAGCAGAAGGCATGGCCCGTCTCGTGATTCACCGCCTTGTAACCCCACCAATCGAATGTGTCAATGCCCATGGTGACAGCCTTTCTCGCAATGTAGTTCACATTCTTGGTATATGCGCCACCGGTTAGAGCTGCAGAAAGCTCAATATTCGTTGCGTTTCTTGTGGGGATCACGTAGAAGATATCAGTCAGAGGGCCCTCGGTGCTATTGACCCTGGGGACCGGCGTGTTGGTGACATCTAGCCACTGCTCTAGCGCGTCTTGGACATAAGCATAGTGAGCTTGCTGCGATAAAGGTCTGACGAAGTTGTATTCGGCTGCGTTCTTGGGCATGCGGTAAAATCGGCTCGTGTCTGCGGTGATGTTGAGCGACAGCTGGCCGTACGATGACGTGTTGAACCATTGCTGGGCTTGAGGTATCAGGAGGTCGTAGACTTCTTGCGGAGAAGCTTCTGAAGCGGTCTGATCCGGAAAATCGATGAAGATGAGGATCGCATTGACGGTGCCCTTGCTGGGAGCGCAATCGTACTTGTAGCCAAAACCAGAGCTGAAGAAGACGCCGTTTGTCGCTGGCAATTTGCAGGATGAGATGTCGGCTCTTCTATTGATAGATGAGCTAGAGGCGAGTGCTGTGCCAGTAAGCAGAGTTGCCCCCTGCAACAATAGGATGTTCGAGGCTCTCATCTGGCGGATGTCTGAGCAGCCCAACAGCAGCGGCAGCAGGTTACTCGACCGGGCAAGAAGTCTGACGTAAATCGCATGTTTGTGATGTGGGAATGCGTCAATTTTAGTCTCGAAGATCGGCGTTCATCTCGGAGCAGCCCGCGTGAGCGAAGGGCCCTTTTAGGTTCTATGTATAGTGTTTTTTCATATCGACGTATAAGCCCCCACTGAATACGAGATGATCTCGCGTCCGCCCCAGGTTGAGCCGCTCTGCTCCACTTGAAAATAAGCTTGTCCAGCAGTCGGGTGAAATCAACACCATGTGAGGAAAGTGCCTGAACTCATCAGAATGTTGCCACCATTAGCGTTGAGGAGAGATGACCTCGTCGACTGCGCTGCTTGGGACAGAGGTTGAAATCACTTATTGACATCAGTGTATAGCTGATACAAAAGTCACCTTTTCTCAGCTTTTGAAATGACGGGGAAATGCAGCCATCTTCGCGTCTCATTTGGTCCATTAAGTTATACTTGTTTCCAGGTAAGCCAGCCTAAATCAAGTCACTAACAAACTAAACCTCCCCACATGTTGAAGAACACTATGAGTTTTATATCACCGGATCGGTGACGGCTTGGCCATTCTCAGTTCGCCGCCGCCGCCGCCGCTGGTTTGCGTCCATGAATCGACCACCTAGAGAGAGAGAAAAGGTCAGAAAGCGTACCTTCGAAACAGATTATTAGGGGGGTCAGGAGAGTCATACACATTAAAGTAAGCGTGGATCTGTCTATCCGCGAGCTCCTTACGAGCCTCCATCGCAATAACGTGGACCTCTGCCTGGCTCATGTCCAGAGCTCGCGTCAGCGGCGCCATGAGAAGACCGTCCAAGTTGGGCGAAAGGTTCTCGAGGTTCCACTCGCCCAGGTCCTTGTGCTTTTTATCCTTGGGCCACGTGTTCGTGGGCCACTTGAAACGCTGCACCTGGATGTCTTCGAATCCAACCTCGGCGAGCAGGGTCTCGAAGCGGCTAAACTCTTCAAAAGGCGATCCCATCTTTTCGAGAGCCTCAAAGCAATACCCAAAGGCCTTCATGAGCTTACTGTCCTCGGGAATCGTGTTGTCATCAGACAAGGGGAAGAAGTCGATATCGTTCAGTTCGAGATATCCACCAGGGTTGAGGTTACTGCATGAACGCTCAGTCATTAGTAGCTAGACACCTCCGGATGGACATGCTTGAGGTGACTAACTCAAAACTGCTTTGGAGGAACTTCTTCCAGTCGCGAATGCTGCCCTTCATCATTCTGCTGTGAATGTAGTCAAAGGGCTCACTGAAAGTCCATGGTTCCTCGATATCATCGATCTCGAACCGAACATTCGGAGGTACGCTAATAATGTCATCAGCGATTCTGCAAGAGAAGCTCGTCTTGGAAGGCATGTGTCATACAAGTTTGGCTGGGAAGCCGACAAGTCCACACCTGTGACCTAGAGAATAACACACGCCATCAACACTCTGTACTCCAGGATCAAAGCATAGCAAGCTTTACGGACCTCAGCCTCGGGGTGGTCCTCTCCGAATTCGATTGCCCAGAGGCCGGTGCCTGTGCCGACGTCGAGCACGCGACCGACTTTCGAGTCCTCTCGGGTTGGCGGCGCAGTTCCGAGATAGTAGTCAAAAGTCAAAAGGTAGAGATTATGCACAAGGTCTAGCCCAGCCCGTCAGTCAGGGAAAATGCGATCAACCAAGGTAGGGTTGGGAGAATTAGCAACCTACCGAGTCTGTCCTTCTCTCTCTCATCGTTAGGTGCCCAGTACCTAGCTCTGCAACGATTAGTCTTGTATAATCTCAAATGATTTCGTGTAATCATACTCCCTTCTTTGTACTTGTGGTACGTTCTCCCGTTCTCTAGTCTAGATTCAAGAATCGAGGCCGCTACAGTCGAGGTGGACGACGCGATGCTACCCTAAAGTCACCTAGTCAGCTGGCTTCTGCGGGCACCTCCTGGTGTATCTTCCGAGATACTTACACCATTCAATGAGGAATTGTCGTCGGTGAACTACAGTGTACATGCACTTTCAGTAATTGCCATCCCTCGACGGATTCTTAAGACATCTCACCTCATCAGCCGCGATGGCGCCAGCTGGTGGGGGTTGGGGGGTGGGGCTATTGTTGTCGTCGTTGCACATCGTGTCCTCCACTGTTGAGCACAAATGATATGAAATGTTCTATGCGGATGAGCTCAACCAGACTTGAGCGGAGTGAATATAACAGTCGCTGAGCACCAGATTCGTCTACTATGAACTATGTCTGTGCAATGTCGGGTATGGGAAGATTTCACAACGTGAAACCGATGGGAAATATCTTGGAGACGGGTCCCACTTCGATTTACCCCTCTTCTTGGCTGGACATCTGGAGACAACTGCGCAGATATGCATGTTGGCTTGTCCAGTCGGATCCAGTCGGATCCAACCAGCTATCTGCGACAAAACCCTGGTACTCGGGGGGCAGTTCCAGAAGTGGCAGCTAGCTCGCGGCACAGTAAACATCAATTGCTCATTGTCTATGGCGGTGTAAACGAACCACACCACATGCGTTCGAAACTCCGGTCGCTTTGTTTACGTGCTAGCGGTACCCAATGCCCAAAGAGAACCACAGAATGGGTGATGCAGCGGTATCGATCCGTAACAGACGGGGTACATCGATATGGCTGGCAAGGCGCGATGTTCACCCCAACAGTTCCCGTGCCCAGTTTTTATCACAGTCGTCTTCATTGATTCAATTTGGGTTGTATCCTAAAGTTTTCTGACGATTCCCTCTTGCGATCCCGCATACATACAGTAAAGCCATCGCAACGTCATATCAAGCAAAATACAAAGGCAGTCAACTAATCCTCAGCATCCCGTGGATCGTGCTTTTTCCAAAATTCCTCATACTCGTCCCAAGATTGAGATGGGAAAGCCAGGGGTACTGTGATTGGAGCGAACGGAATACCCTTGTCTGCAAATTCCCGGAGGCGTGCCTGAGTATTTGGTCGGGTGTTGTTTACACTGTAAACCGATATTCTGTGACAAGAACTGGTCACATGTAAGCCCCAATTCCAAGCTGTGCGTACATCGGGCGGTTGAGTATTGAGCGAATTGTCCCAGCAGCGACAGACGATCTCAATCCAGCCTTCCACGTCGCAAGGAAGATCGATCTCCCAGGTTCGCCAGGTCCATTTTCGCTTCTTGGAGAGATTCTCGACCGGCACAGTATACCAATTGAACCCCCCGTCAGCTGAGAGCTCAACCCGCTCTGGCCAGCGACCACCACCTGAGTAGGCCCATCCCTTGCAGCGGATTTTGCCGTTATGTATGACGACCTGTTTGGTCCAAGGCGACATGATGGCAGAACTAACTGGCATTTCCTGAATCTGGATGCCGTCCGTCATCTTGAGATTATGCTTGCCGACTTGTTGAGGAAAGTAGAGGTACTCCTGGCTCTGAACAGGCGCACGTGTAGGGTTCTTGATAGCCTTAATGCGGTAAAGCCACTTGACGCTTCGTGCTCCAATGTAACCGAACACAACGATGCGAAGGGGATATCCATGAATGCGAGGAAGAACATCGCCATTCATCTCCCAGGCCAGCATGACCTCGTTTGCCCTCACTTTTGACCATGGAACGCTGACGAGATAGTTCATGGTTTTGTCATCTTTGAAGTAGGTGTCCGCGCCGTAGAATTCGAGATGTTTTGCCCCTTCGATGAGTCCACCGCAGGCTTTGATGACTTTTTTGAGGCTGATGCCAACGTACTTGGCAGTTCCGATCGCACCTTCGGCCCAGGGTGCTTGAGGCACCTCATCACCCTGACCGGGGTACTTGAGAATCTGCTCGATACGTCGGGTTCCCGAGCATTGCATCGTCACTGTCTTCTCCATCCGCGGAAACTTGGTTTCGTCCATGAGGTCATCCAAAGTGAACGATCTCGGGTTCGCTACAAGTCCATCCAACAGGAAGCTGTAGTGCTCTTTGTCGATGATCGGAATCCCGCCGTGGTTTCGGACGAAGTGGAGGGGATTCGGGGTAATTTCTTTGTCGGTCACGAGGCGCTTGGGAGGCTCGCCGTTGTAAGGAAATTGGAGAAGATGCAGCATGTCGGCGTGCTTCTCCTTGAGCACAATATCCCACGAGTCGTCGGGGATGCGAGACAAAGCGCCTCCAACCGCCTTGTGCCACATCTTCCAATGAGTACCAGGAAGGACAGGATTGCTAGCTGGAATAGGCCCAAGCTGGAACTCTGGATTTGGGGGAAATGTCTGGGAGGTCAAGATCCTATGGGCCGCGGCCTTCTTCTCCGGATAACTTTCCCACTCGACGAAGCTGTTTTGAATCCGGAGTTGTCAGCTGCTGTAGACATGCAGTCACAGTGTTTTCAATCGAAGGCAGGTTGTGCTGAAGTCGCTTGAAGGGACTCACCCGGTCCAACCTTGCCGCTCCTCGGTGAACAACTTGTTCGGGTCGCCGACTTTCTTTATGGCGGCATCATCTTTCGTTAGGTCACCAAAAATCTGAGGGGGGAGAGCCTTGGTTTGCGGTCCCGTCATGTCAAGGACGGGAAGCTCCGCCCCAGCCAGTCCCTGCTCAATCTTCCATTCATCGGGTCTGTTAGTGGTCTTCATGATGTCTGCCCTACTACGGACGCAGCAGTATCGAGCCTCAGAGGGGTGGTGTGCATCGGAGACCCTTCATTATTTGATGAAAGAAGTGGCGGGATGCTCCGGGTTTGTAAATCGAACGCTCTTTGCGTACTTTCTGTCACGTCCATTAGGCCGAGCTTCATGTTTTGAACCTCTCGAAAATCTGAGACCGAGGCGTTTGCTTTGCACTCCAACCGGTAGTCTAGGTTCTGAGCGCATCAGTAATTGTAGCTCCATCAGGCCAATGATAGCTGCACGAGCTTAGACAGAGTTCAGCACGTCGCATTGACCGAAAGCCTAAATCAAAATCAACACTGATGCACGGAAACAGGGATTCAATCCGACTGGACTAAACAACAAGGCAAGCTTTTGATTTAATACAAGGGCAGAAGGGCCATTCAACCCAGGTCTGTAGGTTCTAGCTTTCGTTATGCCGCTGCCGTCCGAGAAGGCTCCGAGCATATGCCCGAGCCCTCAACAACCCCGACATTTCTTGGATCTCATTGCCAATCAGTGATCTTATCGAGAGTAACATTGCATTTCTCTATGAGGGCATGAGCACCGTACATGAGCACAGTATACATCGTGCCGGAAAACAGAAATTGTGTAGATTAATGGGTATCTGACAAGCTATAGTGGGTTGAACCTGTCTGTGTTACTGGTTCGATTTTCTCAGCCGGCGCGGTCTCAAGGGTTAGCTCGGATCCCTCTCGTGAGGCGTATCTGCTGTCCACGTCACCTACTCTCCCTGTTATCCTCATACCTCACCTCGTGACCTTACTCGTTACGTTCCTCGGTGCCACCCATGTCTGTATCTATTGGCTTTCGTCCATAAATCGACCATCTAGAAAAGGAATGTTAGCTAGGATGATGACGTCGGAATCTCCAAGTTGAAGGACGGCCTAGGGTCATGATAACCTACATAGAAAAGTACGCATGAATGTTTCGGTCGCAGAAGTCTCTGCGGTTCTCGGCCATTAATACCAAGACCTCGTTCTTGGTCCAACGAAGCGCCCTCGTGAGCGGCGCCATACAAATCGCCTCCCATCCCTGTGTGAGATTCTCGTTATTCCAAACCCCAAGCTCTTTGTGTCGGGGTTCCTTCGGCCAAGAGTTGGTGGGCCACTTGAAGTGTTGCATCATCACACCAGTGAAACCCGTCTCCATGAGAACCGATTTTAATGCCCTGGGATCTTGGTACGGGCGTCCAAATAGCTCTGAAGCCTCTTGGAGCATCTCGACGGTTCGAGAGATGGAATGCTCCGGTTTCAAGGTGCCGTCATCAGAGAGTAGCTTGACATCAATCTCATTTAACTCCAGATATCCACCGGGATTGAGGTTGCTGTGCGTTTATGTTGATGAGTTACTGTATGATATCACAGACTCTATCAAATCAAGAGACTCACTCATAGCAGTTTCTTATGTATTCCCGCCAGTCCCTAATCGAGGAGTTCATCATTCGGCTATGTATGTAGTCGAAAGGTCGTGAGTAGGTCCACGGCTCTTCGAGGTCGTCGATAAGAAATTTCACATTTTTTGGCGTACTAAGCAAGTAGTAAGTATGCCGGTTGCCCTATCAAAGGGATTTGTGGTCAGACTGCGTACAAAGTTGGTTGTGCAGCTGAGAGATCGATGCCTCGAACCTGTGCTGTCAGTCAGTGTTTTGAATTCTATCTCACGTACATTCATGGAATCTCTGACCTCAGATTGAGGATGTTCATCACCATAGTCAATAGCCCATATCCCACTCCCTGTGCCTACATCCAAAACTCTGCCGACGTTACTCCCTGGATCACTTGGTGGGGCGGTACCAAGTCTATCGCCAAACGTAAGTCGAAACAAAGTGTGCTGCAAGTCTGTTCTTATAATTAGGATGATCGATAGGTCTGCTGAGTGAGAACTGACCTAATCTTTCCGTCTCTCTTTCATCATTGGGCAAATTGTATTCTACCGTGGTACGTCAGCATATCCATATCTCGAGGAGTCGTCGTGTAGGGTACATGAAGTTTAAGTAAGTCGTAATTGTGAGGGTTGAAAGACTCACTGCCATCTTTGTACTTATGATAGGTTCTTCCATTTTCGATACGAAATCCGAAAATTGAGCTTGTGGCACTCATACTCGACGAAGCTACACTTCCCTGGTCGAAGGTCAGCCTGGAGCTCTTCACGGCCAGGCAACTCCTAGCTTTTGTTTTGTCCACTAAATTATCAGGCCTTACCGACTCTTCTCTTTCATCCTCGTTCTGTTGTCATTAGAATATCAGCTTGTTTACCTGGGTCCAGCGATGATGCAGTATGCGTACCTGATTGTCAGCCTCGATAATGACCTCGCTATCAGGCACATTATTGGGCGGTATGGGCTCTAGTGCTGCGTCTACGTCGATGGCAGAATCGACACCCATCGTGCGACAGGACGGTGGACGGGAGTACATATCGTAGTGACCTGTGCGAGCAATGACTTTTGTCGCGGGTTTCCAACGGGCGACTGCGGATGACCTTTCTGGGGAATGAACTCTGTTGGATGACAGGATGCCACTGATGTTCAAGTGCACGTGAGTGTCGCTACCAATGCTGTGGGCCATTGAGCCCCCCTGCTCTGCGGCCGTGGATTCATTAACGGGCGTTGCTTCTGCATAAGGATAATCCCCCTTGAGGAAGAACGAATAAGAGTTCAACAAACAGCAGGGGAAGTATCGCCCATGCAGCAACAAATGCTAGCAACCAATTGTTGTTGGAGATTTATGGACCCTTGCGAAGCGACCTCGCGTCCAGCTCGCATCCAACACCATGAACAGAACCAACACGGTCACCAAGATACTGCCATCATCTTGCCGTCGTTATGAGCGTTTATTCTGCCTCTGGGCGGATGAATCGAGTATAGCTTCAGTATTTCTCTGCAAGAGGGGTTTTCCGATTACCCAACTTTTGAAAGCCCCAAATGCTTAAGGGGACTCAACAAACATTCATCTATTGTGCCGTTCATTGAGTATGGCTTCTCATCGGCAACTTTCATCGAGCGGGGCTGCATCTCTGGTGAAGATGTCCACCCATCATATGAGACATCAGGTAAATTGACGCAAATTGCAGTTGACACAGATATCGAGACTTGCCACGGAGTTTAAGGACTTGTTTGACTCTGATCAAGATTACGAGACTCTCGATGATAGAGGCCAAAACCTCAATATCGCTGTGTTCGTTTTTGAATTGGCTTGTTCCAGCTACTCGTCTCAAACAGCAGTGACAACTTCACCTATATTAACGATATGAGCAACGATAGACCAGAGATTTCCACTGTCTATATCCCTCTGCATGACCGCCATTTGAGTCGAGGTCTGCAAGCTTACAGCGACCAGATCCCCCCTCTTATTCGTCTTGAAATGTCCCGGCCATTTTTGCCCCGCAGGTGCTGATTGTACAAAGGACAAGGCGCCATCTGCCATTGGCTTGAAAATGGCGAGAGGGTCCGAAGGCTCCTGCGTCTTATTGTTCGAGCTGAAATTGGGTATCTCGAAAGACGAATAATCGCGATCGGAGGCAATGATAAATCAGTTGTCAAGCCATAAACTCCTTTGTTAGTTGGATGGGTTCATGTCATGTTATGACTAAGGAACCGGATTTGATTACAGAAACCTCGATCTCCGCCACGATTCCCTTGGCGGCTGCTGGCGGGGAGCTGTACGAGCTGATGATGACAATCTGCTCAAAAGCAATGACGCCTGTACAAAGTGGATATGTGGAATGGAATGATGCGATGGTGCTGTCGAGCTCTGCTAGAACATTTAGATGCAGAGAGTCTCCTCGGGTAAAATTCGCATTCGGTGCCTAGAACACGCCCTGACGTGGACCTGAACCCCAAGGACACGGTATATTGTGTACTAATCTTGGTCAAGAGATCTATGACTTTGTCGAAAGAGCAGAATTGAAGAAGGTCAGAACCAAGATCCAACACAACAATTAACTCCCTAGTCGGGTCTAGAATTGCATCATGAGGGTGCGAGACGCTCTGCTCCGGCTTTGGTCTTTTAGGCGATGAGTACACAAACGTCTGGAGCTAGCTGATTTGGCCGTTGAAGGGTGCGTTCCATGTCGCAACAGAGCTCCAAGCCCGTACAGCGTACGGCAGCATTAGTGTCTCAAGTAAAAAAAAGTCAAGTACTTCATCAGTGGCCTACAAGTGAGCAGCGACCATTTCTCTATTCTCACAGCTGTTATAGAACGTGCTGCTGACGGGGCCAATAGTTGTGTTTCGGCGCACAATGGGCATTAGTTCTCCGTCTTGCTCCACGTTGAAAGTATTACCCACGCCAGTTCTGTTTAGGCAATAAAGAACATTATGAGGCTTGCTAAGTTCTACTCATACTGATTGTAGGCCGCAAGATTTTGAAACGTAGATTTGCTCCAATTTGCAGCGACCGTCCTCGTGAGATAGCTTCAAAGAAGTCAGACCGCCATCAGTGAATCCTGAGAAAAGGTCGACGCTGCTAGCGTCGTCTACGGTGATGATAGAAAAGATTCGATATCTCGCCATCATGCTCTCGAGGGTAGAGTCTTTCTTATCTGGTTTAGTTCTTGAGCATCTCGTTATGTCTGATGTGGTCTCAGAGAACTTGAGCGGTGTTTTCATAGCGTCGATCCTCCGAGCTTGCCGTCCCCCTGTTCGGATTCAACTCACCTTACGGCGTGCCAAGCACAGGCGCGGTCGAATCAGAAGGATAAGCGAAGTCTCGATAGGTTAGCTTGTCTCCTGATGTGAGAGGAATGATCCTCTGGCAAAGTTCAACCTTCAATAAGGTAGGTAAGGTACTTGGCAATGGGTTCGGAATGCCTGTCTTGCGTGGATTTCCTGCACTGTTTGATCCTAATACTCTGAGTTGAAGCAGTCATTCAGGAGGAATTGTAGCTCACTTACTCCAGCTTACCTTTCCCAATACAATAGTGCAGAGACTGGGGAAAAGTTTCTATGAGAATTAACAGGCTATCAAAGTGTGCTATGATTACCATCCACGTCCCGGCGCAATGGCGTTTGATGATTGCTAGTGAGCTAGATTCACCTGCCCAAGCGAATAATTGGTCTCATCAGCCCATTCATCTTATCTCCTGCCGAGCGGTCTCGTTGAGGCGTCCTAACCCCGGCACGTCAGCAGGTTGCATGTGAGATAGTTCCACTTAAACATTAGCCCCGATCATTCTTAGCTTCCCTGATCCGATTCAGCCACCACAAACGTCGTAGAACCGAACAATGGCCGGACAACCCTGAACTTCTTCATTCCACTCAATTGTTCAACGGATAGATTTCGGGTGCTTCTGGAGTGTCCAGTTGCAGTTCCATGATGTCTTTAGACGAAAGAGAGATCCCCTTCGGCGACCGATAACGTACAACGTAGTTACTGATCACGACCTGGGTCTGAGCTTCATCCTAAGTATGTCGTTGAGAACCTGGCTCTGAGCTGGTTCGGGTGAGGGGTTTCCATGCAACCTGCTGACACTCTGGAACTCTGACAACATTGCATTTCGGGCGAGAGACACTGCATTGGATGGACCCCCGAAAAGGCATAGTTCTGAACTCTTAGCCCGGTCCCCTTCTCTTCAGTTCTAGGTTTGACCAAATTGACTGTACTTATTCACAACACGGTCATCTCATGATTGTATTTATAGTTGAAAATTTAAGCAGATACGTGCGACTTCCATACTGTTACATCGATTCGACGCTGGCTATGCAATCCAGGAAACAACGTCTATCGGACACGCCTATCTGACTAACTGACATCTACGGGAGGAGCCGCACGATGGGACTTTGCGCTAGAACATAATCGGCATTCGTCCCCTGTCCTCGTCCTATGTTTCACGGATAGCTATCTGAACATATTGTTTGTGCGGTGTCGTCTTTTGCAACGTTATGCATTAAGTCGCTTTGAGATGAGCTCCCGGATCGAGCTCCCGGATCGAGCTTCTTGGCAGGCCGCGTGGATGCGACTTCGGACTTGACCCATTCGTACAAGAATTTGGCAGTGACATTTGGCAAGGCCACTGTTTAACTCTATCGTTTTGTATTACTAGAGGATTACTATAGTATATATAAACGCTACCCTACCCTCGAATTCCGCACTATTTAACCTTAACCCTTTTTATAAGTTACCTATCCTTTCTTCTATTTTACCCTCTCTCTTATTAAAAAATTACTAAAATCGTAGTTTTAATAACTTATTAATAAATTAGTATTATTATTTAAAAATAAATAACCTATTTTTATATATAAGTACTAAGAGTTTTATTATAATAAAAATAATAATAAATATATTAAAATACTTAAAAAAGCTTTTTAATAAATTTTTAATACTATTTAAAATAATTATCCTTAAGCTATAAAAAGAAGCCGAGGTACTATATTAATATAACTTTATTTATTTCGTTAATATTAATAATACCCTTTTTAATATAAAATATATTAATAATATTCTATAGTTATTATTATAACTTAATATATATAACTAAAACTAGGGCCCGCCCCGCAGGCTTATAATAGCTATAATATATTATATATATAAAAATATGGGAATATAAGGTAACTTTTATAAAATAGAAGAACTATAAATAAGTTATATATAAATAAGAAATAGTAATTACGTAATAAGGTAATTATTATAATTATTCTAAATAATCGCTTATTAGTATTTACTAAGCGATTACTTAATAAATAAGAGTAATTATTAATAAAAGATATATTTATAAATAGATTTATATATAATATAGACTTAAGCTAGGCTTAAAAATAGACTTTTTATAGCTTTTTTAGTAATTAATTTAGTATTAGATCTTACGATCGCTTTTAACTATTTTTATTAAGAACCCTTTTTAATAAGCTTATAATTAATTATTAAAACCTTATTTATTTTATAACTTATAAATATAGTTTTAAAAAAGCTATTTATAATTACGATATTATTTACTTAGTACTCATAACCTTAACTTTTATTAATATACTTATTATAACTAGCTAGTTATAATATTTTAATTACTCCTATTTAATAAGTTTATTTTTTAAAAAACTAATTAAGTAATATAAATATATTAACCGTTAATAATAATAATATAATATAGCTTATTAAGGTAGCTATATTTATTATTTAATAATTATATAATATAATACTTAAACTTAAAAATAAGAATAAGTAACTTTATATTTAGTTTATAGCGCCCCGACCTTTTTTAATACTTAGAGCTAAGTACCCTAAACTAAAACTTTATAATAAGTCCCTAAATACTCTCTAAGGATTCCTTACTTAAACTAGGGCCTACTTATATTACTACGGGACCTTTTTTATTATTAAAATAAATAAGGTTTATTACGTAATTTTATTTTTTAAAAAGGATATTTTTACTTAATTCGAACCCTTTATAAAAA